CTATATATTCTTAGAATAAAGGCTTCAGTAGACGTCTCATTTATTCTTTCGGCATGGTTCACCAGTATTCCAGTAATTATACTAGGAGGAATTCTTTTTGTTAACAGATCGACTATAAGAATTCGTGAAGTAATCGATATGATACCACCAGAGAGGTATAATTCGGATCTCTCTTTAGTACCCATCTCATTATTCACAATCCGTAACCCAGGCTTTTGAACACCCATTTTTGCAAGTTCTTCTTTGATACTGATCTCCTCACTTGCTGGAGAGTTCAACAAGATTACCAGATGAGCTTCCTGAGAATACGTTTTAAGAATTGAGCAAATAATGCGCCTTAAACCTAGACCGCGACTCATTAATAATAAACCGTCTTCGGCGAAAAGTTCTTCTAAAATTTTGCGTTGATACTCTAGCATCTTGTGTATGATGAAATATTGTTTATATATAAAGTATGTACAAACGCGATTTTATAAAATTTTATCTAGAGTAGCCTAATCGTTTCGTGTTTGTCTATTAACAACTATTTATATTCTTTTGATTATCTTTTATCATTTGAAATTTTCTATTCATTGATTAACAATGCATGCAGATAAATACGGTATTTTATAATATTTTAATATCAAATCTATAAAATAGTTTTTGAAATACTAGTCATTTCTTCTTTATAAAAAGCTTTTAATTCTTATAAAAAAAGTTTTATTTTATTTTTATAATTTTTTATAAATTTTTAATAAATATTATTTTAAAGAAATTTTTTTATAATTTTACTAATATATTTTGAATTCATATTATATTAAGATACTTATTTATCTTTAATATTTATTTGATTTTTTAAAATTTTTTTTATAAAATTCTTATAATAATTATTTATTATTTATATTAAATTGGATTTTTTATTTTTTTATCAATATAAAATTATATTTTAATATAACTTTTATTATTATTATTATATATAATTATTAATAAAAATTTAAGTAAACTTTTTTATATTTAATACCAATTAAATATTTTGAAATAGTTAAAAAATTAAATTATATATTCTTTAAAATAGTTTGTTATATACTATATATATACAGTGTGTTAAGAAAAAAATTGCAATTATATTTTTATTTATAACTTAATAAAGAATTGATAAATATTGATAAATATTGATAAATATATAGTTAAATACTATAGAAACAACTTTACTTAATACTATTTTAATTAATATAATAATATATTTTTTTAAAATAATTGAATTTTTATGATAAAAAATCTATAATAAAAAATTTTATTCATTTTTATATATAAAAAATGTGGTTGGAAATAGGCAAAAAAAATTTTTTGTTTTTTTTAAAAATTTTTATAAAAATGTAAA